AGTACATTTCTATTAAACATCTTTTCTCTGTAGTTAGTCCTGCCTTTCCAGGTCTTTCATGTCTTTGGTTGCTTATTCATTTTGCCTTTTTACAGATATCCCTAAACTAGATTGGACTCCACCTTTAACAAAAACAAGTGTTGAGAGAACAGTTTCAAAACCGATCTCTGAGTATCCTCTTATTTTCCTTTCTATCCCATATTCCTGTTTTAATCAGTTTCCCTGTATAAGCAGAATCTGTATTTCAAATTGATACCACCGTCTGTCAGCAAAAGAGAAATGGACGCTGCAGAAATGTTCAGCATTAAAAGCCCAAATGGCTTCTGGATACTCTTGGTCATTTTACTAAGGCCTGTAATATTTAATGCTGCACAGCATATATGACTAAAACTGCTGTTACTGTTACTGTAGGTCTTTGATACATTTGGAGGGGAGCAAAAAAACCAAAAAACAATCTCTTCTTTGCATATACTATTGCATTTATCTTACTGCATCAGTAAATGCAGTATGACACTGCAAGGGCATGAAAATCTCTCAATTATGAAGTGGTAACTCCCTCAAAGGCACAAAAATGTGTTTCCGTGTTTTATAGATATGAGGGTGATGAGGCACTGGAACAGGTTGTCCAGAGAAATTGTGGATGTCTTATCTCTGGAAGCATTCAGGGTCAGGTTGATCAGTCTCTGAGCAACCTGGTCTAGTGGAAGGTGTTCCTGCCCATGGCAGGGAAGTTGGAACTAAATGATCTTTAATGTCCCAAACCATTCTATGAAATCTGTGACCTCTTGTTCCAAATATTAGAAGAGGCTAAATATGTTTTTGAGGATTTTACTTGAATTGACCTGATTTTCACATTTCCAAAATTCTTAAGTTCTGTAAGCACTTGTACAGGAGTGTATCCATTCTACAGTTGCCTGACAGTGTGCTTTAACTTTAATTACTCTAAATATTCCTCAGGCTAGCTAAGGTTGTCTTGAAAGGCTTGTTTTCATGAGAAAATAATTGGATGTTCTTTTCTTCTGGAACTCTTTGATGGGATTCACTGATGCCAATTCTTCAGTGCTCCCTTTTGGCCTGAATGCACTTGAAATAAGCCAAATGGTAGGTTTCTAATTGAGAATCCAATTGTTTAAAATAAAAACTTTCTGATGTCTAGAAACAAGTGGGCATTATATTGACAGTCTCTCTGGCAAAGTTGAGTAATTGAATGGCAAGTATTAATGAACACAGTGAGCATTAAAAACCTTTATCATATTCAAGAGCATTCCAGCAGCAAAGAACAATCTTTATTAAGCCAGACAATAGTCATGACAGCAAGTTCTGCAAACTGAGAATACTCTAAAGCTGTGCTACTTCAAAATGCCTGGCCCAAAATATATTTCTGAAGTCTTAATATGGGTTAAAATATCTGAAACTAATCACATTACTTTGCTTTTATGTTATCCAATCAAGTTATGAGTAGTGTATCATTATTCCAGAAAAGGCTGTAGAGATAGCTAAGACACGAAACCTTGTCTGGTTCTTCCACAAGGCATTCTCATTGAGAGGTACTACCTGCTACATTCATTTATTTATTTCTTTTTTTCAGAAGAATGTATTTCTACATAATTCTAAAAACTTATATTATTCCTTTTATAATACATGATCTCACAGATCTGAGACAAAAGCAGAAAACTCGTTATTTATGATTTGGAGAAAAGACTGGGTTTGGGTTTTGTTTTTTAAAAGTGTATTTCCCTCTTGCCTTTCAGTGCTGTAGGGATTTAGTGATTATGAGTGTTCTAATTCTTGAAGTATTCATGCATAGCCAGTAGAAAACAATCAGCTTGCTTTTAATTTAGTTACATGAATTGAATTGAATGATCATTTATAAAATGTAAAATTCAAAGCTCAAGCTTTCTCTGAGTTGTTTCTAATTCAATTTCCCCTGCATACTCTTTCAGAAAAGCCAGATCCCAATTTGCTCTAGTTTTGCTTTGCACTGTTTCAACAAGAGGTATCAGGTGTTTCTAGAAGCCCTTGGCACTCCTACTTGAGTGAAGCACTACCTCAGTAGCTGGAACCACACCACTTGATCTCCTCGCTCCTGCCTACCAGTAAGAGACATTATTCTGGAAGAAGTACATCTGAAGAATTCAGATGCTTTTTTGGCTGAGTTTACACTGGAGACTTTCCTGGCTCATTTCAAGAATGAGAAAATGCAAAAGTATCTGTGTAAGTCCATTTCAGCTGCGCCAAGACACCCATTGCCAGCTGTGGCTTTGTTTTCCATGACCCCCAACTCCTCTTGTTCAGTGACTGCCAAGTTGTTCCCCTAAAATTCAGCCATTTTTAGCAGCTCAGCTGTGTAAGGTTGCTTGGAAACCAGTCTTCTTATCCCCCAAGTTCTCATGACAGATTTCCTATGCAATAACATCACCGCATGACACATTTGTATCCAGACACACATTCTTTTTCCACTTGAGACTCTCTGAGTAAAGGTTGTTGATGCTTCACACAATTCGTAAACAGCATGTGGTAAATCACTGGAGTATTAAATCACTGCCACAGTCAAAATGAGCTCAAGTTTTGAATGTGAGCAGTTCCTCACTCCTGAATTTACTTACTGATCTTTCCTTCCTGAGAGTAATTTCTCATTTTGTTTTTCAGACCAGGCAGCTAGGTGGTATTATGGCTTCATGGTAATCTCCACTCCCTTTTTTGCTTCTGTATATAATATAATACTTGCTTCCATAATTTCAAATTGGTTGCAATCGCTTTCTCCTTTGTATTTTCTTTATATTTGTACAGGGGATGTCATAAAAACTGTGTATACATTTATTAGTAATATAAATACTTCTATTATTTTAAATGTTGCAAAAAGTATCAAGTTACCAACTTGCAGCTGAAGTGAGTAGGTGTCAGGCATTTCATATTTATATAGCTGTCTTTGACTGATGGGGTTCTAGCACTGTATTAGTTACATTTCTCCTTTGTTAACGGTATTGCACTCTTGCCAGAATGGTGATGTGTTAGTTTAGCAAAATAATGAGAAAAGCTAACTGCCACATCTGGCAGAAGGAATATTTGCCATCGACATAGACAATAAGGTCCCATCATAGTCTTCTTGTTCAATTTCATGTGAGAACCACATGCATTCAAAATTGCAGTGCTTTTATGGACAGTGTAGTGTATCATCAGTGAACTATATAGTTTGAAATTATTAGGATATCAGTATAATTTTCATGTTTCTGTTAATTTTATTTTGTAACTATAAAACTTGTGGTTATTATGTAAACATTATGAACAAAGAGTATAATTTCTTTAGTGTATGTACTCTTCCATAATAACCTATCTTAAATGTTAGTAAACTGTAAAATTTAACATCAAAATAGCCAAACATAACATAAATATAGATTCTGCTTTATAGGCCTAAACCCCTAAATAGTAAAGTACAGGACAGACAAAGATAATGGGAAATTTAGAAGTTTCCTGGGCAGAGAATGTTTTAAGAAGGGTTTATGAGAGAATGGGGTTTAAAAGGAGATGTGGAGACAGAAGCAAGCTGCCTCCTTGAAAAACAGACAAGCTAAAATAACTGAGCCAAGAAGAACAGTAAAGGATCTAAAAATTAAAATGAATGAATGGAGCTAGAACATATAACATGTTGCAGGTGAGGATAAATTGTTGCATTGAATACTGTGAAAGAAAACCAATGGATGATCCAATCATAATGAAAATTCAGTTTTGTTGGCCTTCATTTTGTCACTTTAAAATGTCACAAGAAAAGATATCTTTTGCAAGTAATGAGAAAAGAGGTGAGAACATTTGCAACTGCATTTTGTTGAATGACAACAGAAACACAAATTAACATTCTGTGCTAAGATGCTTAGAAATCTAGAGAGATGTTTGTGGTATTCATGAAGAAAATACAAGCAGAGTCATGCAAAAGTGGAAGACAGGAAGCAAAACATACAAAACCACCACCCTTAAGTATGGTGGTGTGATAGACAGATGGCTTTTTGGTTTTGGTATTTTTTTTTAAATTCTAAGTCATTGTTTTAATGCTTATCCACAGCACAATAACAAGCACACAACCCCTTTTCCTTAGTGCAGCATCCAAGCCACAGGAACGTTCCATGTTTTAGTTTGTGCCCATTGTCTCTTGTCCAGTCACTGGGCACTAGAAAATCCCTGGATCCATTTTCTCTGCATTCTTCCTTCAGATTTTTGTACATTTTGATGAGATGCCCCTGAGCCTTCTCTTTTCCAGAGTGAACACTCAGATCTTTCAGTCTTTCCTAGTAAGAGAGAGGGCCCAGTCCCTTAATTATCTTAGTGGTCCTTTGCTGGACTCTCTTAAGTATCTCCATACGATGTATTACTAAATCTAGAACTGAACATTATTCCAGATGTGATCTTACCAGTGTAGATATGAAAATTATAGGGGAAAGATATATACAACCTTTTTTCCCCCTGCTCTCTCTGACATTCTTCCTATACACAAGGAAAACTCTTATCAAAATTCAGTTTTTAGATGTGGATTGAACAGGATCAGTAGAAAGGCTGGTTTCAACATAATGTAAAACTTTGTTGTTTTTCATTCTTAAAAATATTTTTTCATAGGGAGAATGTTTGATTTGGCTGTAGTTATATTTCATGCTTTTTATAATTTCATACTGCTCTTTTGAAAAGTTTTACTCCTTCTTAAATATACAGCAGACTTACAGTGCATTTTAGCAGTTCTATTTGTCACATTTGCCAACATTTTTAAATTTATGGAGGAAACTCAGCAGTGCACAGTAATGGAAGATAAAGGCTCTTAATCCTACAATAATATTCATTCTTTTTTCCCAACCAGAAAGCAACATCTGTGTATCATTAATTTACTTACGTTGCACTTAAGAATTCATTTGCCCCATCCTTAAAGTTCCCTAACATTTTTTAGATAAATTTTATAGCCCAGTATGTACGTAAATTAGAAAAAAATCTAAAGAGAAACCATATATACAGAATATTACCTGGTCTTCAAAGTCAAATTCTGTATAAACAGCATCTCCCGAATCCATAATCAGACTGCAGTCAAGTTCATTTGACCCTAAAATAGGAAAGAAAATTAGAATTCAGAAATGGATTGAAAAATTTCAGTTTATGTGATGGAACACTATAATATTTCCAATTTTCTGTATCTGTACAAAAACTGTCATCCAAGGAACTATTCAGGTTTGCTAGAGTGCCCAGGTGAATGGTATTTCATTAGCAAAGCCTTCAAAGCCTCCATAAAAGCTACAGAAAATCCTAATAAGGAAGGGCTGTGCTAAACAGTGAATTGTTTTAGCTCCATTGCATATTTATTGGGCAGGGTGTTCTGCGTGCCATGACTTGCAAATGTAAAATTGGCACACTCAAGGGAAAATACAAATCAGTTTAAGAAAGAGAAAGGAAATACTAATTTCTAATTAGCAGATAAGGATCCTTGAGTGGTGTTGATAGGGGACCAAACCAGCACGCTTCCAGCAGCAATCATCTCCATTTCCATCCTACTCTACCCCTTCCCAGGGAGATTGTGTGGCTCTGCACCTTCTCCTTGTCATCTTCCTGTGGCAGGACCAGGAAGAATGCAGTCTCTTGTACTTGGAATGACAAAATCCAATTGCTGAGAAGCCATGACCTGGCTGAGCTTTACAGTTTAGCTTCAGCTGAACTGCTGAAGGTGCAGAACAACAGAAACTGAGCTTGGTATTTCAAGAAGTTGTGTAGGGGGCGTCATTGATAAACCCCATGGGACGATAAACCACAAATAATGTTTCTATATAAACATACAAGGCCATCGTATTCTGGCACTGTCACCCCATTCAGATTATCTCAGTCCTGGGCAATAAAGAAGGAAATGGTCTCCTGGGTCCTCCTGATGATGCAGCCCTAAATCAAATTCTGCACATATTCTAAACACATTAAAATGTCAATAGGTATGAGACTATAGAAGTAATTTTCACAGCATTAGTAAAATGAGAATAATAAAAATATTGTAATGATTCACAGAAATCTAAAAATTATAACCAGCTGGCCACAGATGAGTCCAACCACTCAGTTCATGTGGGGAGCAACAGGTAACACCAGGGGAAGTGTAAGCTGTGTTTCATTTTGTCTCCTCATGTCCCCAGTGAAACAAGGTCACTAATGAAGAAAACAACCCCCTCCTTCCTGGGTTACAGGTGTCTCTACCTGGTATGATGTTCCTGCAAGCGCTGAGGGTACGTAGTTTTAAGGCTATTGCTGGCCTGATTTGTTTTCTAACCATTAGAGTTGTTTGTATGGGTGGCTTGATGTAACAAGCACTATCAATAACAGATTTTGCAGTTCAGTTTGTGCCAGATGCATTTATATATTATCTGGGTTTGTGTGCTTTTGAAGTTTACATAATAATATTCTGTGTAGGTGGTGAAGTAAATATCCTTGACAGAGAGAATAGAGAAGAGCTGGATGTCATGATGACCAAAAACTGTAACTTTATGGTACAAATGATGATTCCAGGGTGCCTTAGTTTGCAATCCTTATCACAATTACTGCCAAATTAATCTTCAGTTTAAGTTTCTGAACTACATAAGACACAGCAGGGAAAGACCTGCATCTACCATCTGATGGTGATTTTATTTTGGTTCCTCACTCCCCTGGCCCCACCCCCAGTGCCCCAATGTGTAGTTTTTCAGATTGCTATTAAAAAAATTACAGAAAAGAATTACATTCCTGGTACCCCAGTGTCACATGTACACATGCAGCATGTTCTCTGGGTGTGCACTTTATGGTCTTTTGAAAATACCTTCCTCTAAAAGATATAGGAGATAGGAAATAGATTTCCAGCTTCTGAGAGAATCTTAATTTTTTTATCTTACACAGCTGACATCTCACTCTTAACACCGAGTCATTGTTGATAATATAATTTAACTAAGTCTCAGTTGTCACTGGCACTGGCCTATTCTGACACATCAATCACTTCTAAAGGCACTTGTTGGCACTTTATTAAAGGCACTTGATTAACTGTCACTTAACTACCAAGAGTAGTACATATTCTTAGCTAGAAACATTAGTATGAAATATGGTGCTGCAAACTTAAATGTAAAGGTCAGGCTGAAAATGAATACTCATGCATAATGTATCTTAAGTGATAAAAGCTATAATGGTTATACAATTTTAATATGGGCAAGTATCTTAAAGCCTTTTTTCCTTAAACTAGAATACTGGTGTCCATGGTAAAGTATAGCTTCTTCCTAGGGTATATTCAAGAAAAATTGAAAATCAGTCTTTTTTTTTCATGGTTTAATGAAAACTAACAAACGCCATAACCATCTATCACTGGACAATGCTCAGACTTCTTTACCCCTCTCAAATTGCCTAAAGACAAACCTATCAGAAATGATTTGAAGCAAATAGCTACTCCCAAGACAAGATAAAGTAATTAAGGGACATATCAGAGTACTTGTGATATCCCTGGTGCAGCATGAGTATGGTGCTGCTATGCTCCAGCTCAGTCTGTTGTTGGAGGGAGCATATTTTGCTAAGGCTGGACTAAATCTTCCTAAAGCAGGTCTTGCAGGGGAGAGTAACAAGCTCACTAACTGTCACTTGTAGGCACGGCAGCAGAGGCACACCAGGGAGCCCCTTGGCAAGGTACTGGCAGTTTGGAATAGTGCTGTAGGCAGATCTCCAGACAAGGCTAAAGCCAAAAGGAGAGTCTTGGAAAGTGCTAATTCAACGCTCAGCTTAGGTTTTCTGATTGCAAGTTTAAATCGGCAACATTTTACATAAAACATGTGGCAATGTTTATCTGTCAAAGGTGAAATGCACAATGTTGTCTTAAGGAAAAGAGGAGGACTGGTTAAAGTGTTTGGAAGCAAATATGCCCTGCTACTTTCAATAGTATTGAATATGAAAATGGGCATCTTATGTCTGGCAACAAAACAGTTGATCATAAATAGTTTTATTGCCTTTTCTGAGCAAGTCACATTATTTTTCTTTTGCTAAGTTGCTACCCTGAGAACTAGGCTATAAAAACAATTCATACTTGTCTATTAGGAGGAAAGGCTTTCAGTCTGATTTGTCTCAATTCTTTCAAAAGGGTGTCCCATTCCACCAAATGATCTCTTGGCTCAAATAAGCTCTTGGTTAACTTAGAGCCTTCCTGTGCTTATATGAACCTTTAGTAAGTGATATGAGTAACTTTATCAATTGCTAAAGGGGAAACTCAAGTTAAAAATATAATTTAAGAAAGCCTATGGAAGTTCTACTGCTATGGAGAAATAACATGCAAGCACCTGATCTGAAAAAGTACCCTTAGGGCTTAAAATATGCTTCCTTGATTGCATGAATAAAGTTAAGGCAAGGGACACCTGGTCACTGTCATGTGCCCTGTTTTCCCTAGAGAAAAAAAAAAGAGGATTTTATTAGGTGCAGTACTGCACAATTAAAAAATAAAGCAGTTGAAAGTTTTTCTTAATTCCCCATTAAGTGAATAATTGGATCTCTTTGGAAATACAGGTTCTAATACAAAAAAGCAGAGAGCTAGAATGCATTCCCTTTTTTTGCCATATTTTGTATCTTGATACTGAAGGCATCTTTCATAAAAATTTGTCTTGAGAGGAATCCAAGAGGATCCAATGGCACAGCACAGAGGGACGAGGTTAATTAAAGGTGGCTGCAGTTGTACTGACAAGGATGTGCTGACAGGTACTGCCCCTGCCAAGTCTGACAGTAAGGGACAATGACACCCCTGCACCAGAGGGGTGCACAGCTGTGCTCAGTCACTTCCTTCACCATGAGGCTATGTTTTATATTTTATGCCATATTTTACATAATGTTTCTTGCTCCTAAGCTGAATTGCACAAGATTGATAATGGAAAGCTGAGAGAGTTTGGTGTGTAACTCCTACCACAGAGATGCACCCCAAAGCCCAGGGTAAAAGACTTTACAGCTGTAAAGTCTTTGGTCCCATAAAACATTTCATTGTTTCAAGTTTGGGTTCACGGCCCTTTCTCTGAAAATGTGTTCATCCTTAAGTTGTCAGGAAGGCAAATGTCAAGCATTGCTTTTTCACAGTTCACTAAATTCATTTATACAATGAAAATAAACTGTACTGATCTATCTAAATTTATCTGCAGTTGACTTCACTTCCCGTCACAAGGTAGCTATGACCCATCATGCAAATGAATTAAGTCTGCTCCTTGGACCATTTGTGTTTAGCAAATCAGCTAATGAATTTCCAATTCTTGCTTAAATGCATTACTTATTTTGAATTCTGCTAGCAATTCTATTCAATATGGTTCATTGGCTCAAATATGCCCATACTCACATTTTAACAATGATAGTATTCACACAGTTCAACACTGACTGTCATAAAAGCAATCTAAGCTTCTACTTATTGCTTACTTTTAACATACTGTTGCTCTAAACAACATGTTTAAACTCAGTAAAATAAAAATGTCTTTTTATGTTATGGAACATGCTCTGAAGCACTGTCTAACAATACATGTTGCATATAAGCATTAGGGCAAGACAAATGCTTAGAAGATAAATTTCAAGTGGAATATTATAGAAATAATTTGTTGAAGCACTGATTAGCATTAGAGTGACTACATTTTAATTGTCCTCAGTAAGATGCTTCGAATACAAATTTCATTGCAACCTTACGCTGCTGAGTTTCATGACAGGTTGTTGCTCTTGGCAACAGTCTTAATATGTTGTAGAAGGCTACAATGAGGAAATTGTATTTTCATCTATAAACATTTCAGTAGTTTTCTTTCAGTACATATTGTTACAAAGTTGATTACAACTGGATTTTACAGGTATAATATGAATTAGATTGATGTAGAAACATGAAAATATTAGAAATACTGTGTTTATGTTAGCTACAAGGAACTACAGTATATTGCAATATCACTAATAAGATTAGAAGACAAAAAGTGAGATCAAGACATGCTGGAATTGCAACCTCTAGAAATTAAACACCTGATCTCATAGTGATCCTACTTCAAATCTCATTATTATCAGTGCTCAGAGTAGGCACTAATTATGTGATTGTGGCATGGTATCTGCTCATGGCTATCCAATTATTTTGGTGAGGGATTTATTAAATGGACCAGACTTTCGAGGAACTGACTGGAACTCATACAGAATCACAACTGTTTTGTGCAAATTATTTAGCTCTCATCGAGCTGTTTGTCAGAGCTTGCACCTTTATGACACTTCTTTCCTCTTCTTCCTGTCCAGAATTTAAATCAATTAGGGAGTCCAGAGGCAGTATCAACACAATGCTGTACAGTGGGAATGCCATTTTAGGTTTGGGATCAACCTCTTGCCTCTATGAGTAAGGCTAAGCACAAAATAAGTAAGTGTGCCACTTAACAGAGAAAGTAAGTCATCTTTGTTCTTGTGTGCATCTTAACTCAGGCATGACAGCTAGAATCCTTTGGGCTTCTTAGTGGATGCACTTCTTATAATTCTCTACCTCCTTCCCAACCCCCCTTGCATTCACTGCCTTCCCCTTGCCCACCTTGGTACTCCATCTTTATCTCATTTAGAGCATTATCAAAAATTTCCTTTTGTGTGCTGGTTTAGAAGACATTTATAACATCATCTACCTATGTAACACTAGTAGTTGATTTGGAAAACAGCCAGGGGTGCCATTGTAAAAGAAAGAAGTTATGAAGTTACCAAGGAACATTTCTCTGCTGCCTTCAAGCAAAATATTTCTGACAGATGTTACGGATTTGCAGTGCTTTGATTTTTAGCTTCAATTATTTTGCAGTCCTTTGTCTCTCAAAGGCTTTGAAAATATTCAAGCCTCAGTAAGCATAAATAATAAATAGACAAATAAATAAAATCCCCAAACACTTGACTTATATTCACACACCATTTCAGAATTAGTACCAATTATTAGGGAAGAAGTATGATCATTAATCTCACAGGACTGATTTTCTGGTGAATACCAAGGTATCACTGGAACTGAAACAGCTGGCAACTGGAATTGAAAATTTACATGATTTTTGTATTAATAGTATAGCTTAGTAGATTTCCCATAGTATTTTAAGGTTAACTAGTAGATAAACAAGTTGTTGGATAGGCTATATGAAGTTTCCAAATATAAAGAGATTTTTTTTTTTGTCCCTGATTGTGCAAATGTTTGAGGTTGGTCAAGACTCTGCTACAGTACCTACATCCAACCTTGAAGAAAATGAAAAAGGCATCCCAATGTCAAATGCAGTACAATAAATATGGTTCTTTAAATCTTATATTAACTCACCTGCTGCAGTCTCTTTGTTTGCAAATAGTTTATTGTCAACTGCTGAACTTATGTCAGAGAACACTTCTTCTTCATCTCTGTCTGCATCAAACTGAAAAAAAAAAGCAAAAGAAAAAGTTGGCAATCAGATGCTGCTTACTACTTGGCTGAACATCAACATGTACTGTGATTTCTGATCCCAAGCCTTCCTGATAGGAACCTTTCTATTTTAATATGTGTAGTCCATTGCTTTAGGTATGAATCATTTAAATTTTTACTTTAATTTTGTAAATAATTTTGTCTATTTTTAATAGCCTGTAAGAAGCAGAAACTACAGTAAAACTGACTTGTTCTCAGAGAATGAAGTTTCAAAGCAGACAGTAAAACTAGTAATGCACATCACTTCTTCAGTCATTGGATGGTTGAAAAAATTGTCATAGAGACCAGAGATAGGATTACTTTACTGTCACTTCTTTTTGGTTATTAGCATAATTAACTTTTTTAATTTGCAAGTGAAAAACTTTCAGCAACTTCTGGATTGTCTGGAACAAAATTTTGTGACAAGTACAATTTCTTCAAATAGTTGAGCAAAACTCTTAGGAAAGAATAAGTGATTTTGAAAATCCCCTACTTATAGAAAAGAGAGCTCTCCTCTCTCAGTATCAGAAAGTGCTATGACTTAGTGATAAATCAAATCATGAAAGAAGAGCTCCTTTAAAACAGCAAATAATTAATTTCTTACGATTTTAACCTTCTTTTTAATTTATTCTATCTTTTGCCTGATTCTGATACTGATTCTCCCAAGTTTTTTCTAGGCTCTATCTGACAAGTTTATTTTTATGGTCAGGTGACTGTGGCAGGGGGGAAGTTGTGCTACAATGACGTGTCTAGCAGTGGGTTTGTGATTTTCCTTACTATATTTATCAAGCTTTGCTTATTTAGATCATCACATATTCAGATAGATGAGCCTACTATAAATATCAATACATGGACTTTACTGACTGGTTCTTTAAATGGAGTTTGGGGCTCTGACCCTGATGACCACTCAGAAGTTCATCCTGCAGCAGTCACCATCTGTCTGGGCAGACATTTATCTAATTTTGTGAAATTCTTCTGCCATTCAGTGTTTGTCATAACTCAAAGCATTTTAAAAAAAATTCTAAAGCAGAAATTTATTTGTGTTTACCTGTTAGAGGGATTACATTTTAACTTGTGTCAAAACAAGGCTTGTGGAAGAGCAAGTCTTAAATAAAGCTGTTAATATAACAGCTGTTAATAAAATAAAACTTTTGGGCAAATTGTTATTGATACACAAAGAGCAGCTTTGGAATGTCCTTGTTGATAGGAAAAGAGTGCTCCTGATGCATTCTGGGGAAGACATATATCATCTTTGTGGGTATGTGTATGCATAAAACCTAGTAAACTGTAATCAGGTTGTGTCTGATCATTATAGTGTAGGTCACACCACACTTGGAGAGATGACAGACTTGCTTTCTCATTAGTAACATTCCTCTGAATAATCCAGTTCACCATGAAAAACTGCATGATCAATCTCAAAATGTTCTGAAGGTTCCAAGAATTTGAAACACCAACTTTCCTGTTCAAAGAACACCAGCTGTGCTTCAGCATTCTGAAAAGTCTGGGCTTTGTAATGAAAGCTTATATTGTCACCCAAAGAAAACCAATTATTTGAAGCTTGCACATAGATTCAGCTTTCCCCTCACAAAATGAGAATTGTAATACCCTGAGCCACAGGAAGGCAAGGTAGCTTGCATGAAAAAATTATTTTTGACAGAAACTAAGTAACCTTGTGAGTTTTGTATTTCACTGAAATGCTAAATAATTTAGAATTAAATCCTTTGATAATTAGTGGAGGCTTTAGTAAAAGATAAACGGTATTGAAACAATCCTAGTCACACAGAACAAGCAGCAGTAAATTTGTATTTTTAGCAGAACCTGTCTAAATCCATAGGTTGCTTTCCTTACAGAAAACAAATCCGTACTTGATTCAATACATAGCTCTTTGCAACTAAGTAATCTAGGGGTATCTTAATGGATGTCTCAGTTTAATTATAGTCAAGGCTTATGTTTTATAGAGGTGTAACTTTATTAAACATTAACTGTATTGTTGTCTGCATTGGTGTACTCTTTACCAGTGATGCAGGAAGAAGCAAAGTGTTTCTTCCCTATCTGGCCAAAGGGGTTTGGGTTCTGACCTTATTTTATAGCATTTCCCTCCATGAGGCACTAACAGTGTTTTTGTTCTGTCTCTGTTTTGTTGTGGCAGGAAAAGATTAGGGAGGACCTCAGTGGACAAGAGCATCCCATTTCTTTAAGAAACCAATCTAAATCTCTGAAAGGTTTCACAAACCTTCCTAAAGTACATTTGGGTGTTATGCTTGGTTTTATTATTTTTTTAAGTAAATGATGACTGACTTAATGAGTTTCTGGAAAGTTTATCTTATTTTCACACGAGCATTGTTGAATTGCAGAATTTTTCACTGGCATGGTGTTATATAAAAATGATGAAAAATACTTTCTAGATGTTCTGCATTTTAAATAATCACCCTAGGGAATGCAGGTGGTTGTTGCTGCTCACAGACAGAGAATGATTATTGTTTCTAAATAAGCATCTAACAAATCCCAGCCAACAGAAGGAGCTCCACAGAAAAATTGTCTGAGTTACTGAAAATTGCAAATATCACTGGTCCATGATGATAAATGGAGATTTGGTAATACCATGTATTGGGTTAAAGAAAAAAGTGCAGAATTTTTTCCTCACATCTGTCAGGGGACACACATCAAGGAAGCTGCAGTTACCTAAAATTTTGTGTGAAAGTGTTATTCAGCCTGGCACTGCCCCTTACAAACTGTTTCACCTCCAATGAAACTGCTGTTTTTTGCAGGTGGTTTATCTAAAACATTCCTGGGGTGAGATCATACTAGCCTTTCAAACTGGAGTACAGGAAAGATAGCAAGAAATTGGATTGCAGCAGACTTGAAGGGAATTCTTGTTGATGCAGCTTGAAATAAAGTTAGAAATGGAGGAAGCATAAAAAACCCCAAGCAAACTTGTAGTTAAATAACATTTACAACAATAGATGAAAATGTCCTCGATTTTAGGACATGATGGATGTCAATGAAAAGAAAATAAGCCACGTCCAAGTTAAACATAACATAACATTGCGGTGTTTTGGCACAGGGGTGAAAGCCCCTGGATGCTCGATGCAGTGCCAGTATCCACAGCTGGTAAAATGGAGGGACTTCCAGATAGACTGTGACAATGATCTTTGTCCTTTGCCTTTCCATGGGAAAGAGAAATTTTAGAAGTTATTATGTCCAGAAGACAAAATTGTAGGATGCAGGGATGACATGGCATGTGAGACAAATTCAGAACGGAAGCAAACAGCAAATTTTATTCTGACATCACTGTCTTTACTGCTTAATTTATCGTGATTTGCAATAATTCCCTATTATTTGAAAGTTTTAGATTATTCCTAAAAATAAAAATACTAATAAAATTAAAATGGTATCTAATTAAGGGAAATTGGCAGTATTGCCCTGCATAGCCAGAGCTGTCACTTCTGGCTTTGTAATCCATTAACCAGATCTATGGAAGTGAAACACAACCGTTGTTTTGGAAGTGGACAAATTACCCATATATTATCACCTGCAGTGAGGAACAATTTCTTCTTAAATAAAAAAATGATTTATCTGCAGAAAAGAGAACATGGCTTCTTGTACCACAGTTTTCCCACGCTTTTAAGAGATACCTAGTTTAGAAGCCAGATTGCACCACTGCCCTTTAAGTGTTGATATTTTTGGTTGAAAAGTTTACAATCCTAGTAAAATAAGGAGATTCATAAGATTGAGCAAGTTATAATGCTTTTCAGGTGGTAGCAGCTACAAATGCAACAAGAACACATTATTATTCATACTGACTTAGGCAGGGATTTGCTCCTGAAGGATTGAAAACAAGTAAGAACTAGTTCTGCCTTACCCCTGGTAATACTAGAAGGAGAAGTGAGAAACACCATTGGGGTATAGGTGTTGCTTTACCATTTTTGGACACCCACACAGAAACCCTTCATTATTGTTGTTCCATCAGTAGTGTGCTTCTCTTAATAATTAGAATTGATTTGTGCAGTTATTTGTAGATTAAGTGGAAAAATCAAATGAAAAACACCAGCAACATGGGAAAACAGAAAAGAAATATGTGAGGAAAAATATATAAGGCAGTGTAATAACCATTGGGATGGGAACGAGAAAAATTAGTTGAAGATTTGTATAGGAAAACCAATAAGCAAAGGCACTGAAATGAAGCTGGAATGTGCAGACTGGGAGTTCAGGGAACTATTATACTATTATAAATAGTATAATACAGTATAGTATATTATAAATAGTATAATATAATACTATTATAAAGTATTTTTAGTGATACACTTAAATAAAACCAAAAAAACCTTCCAAAATACCCCAAAATGGCAGGATGAGGACATAGGGGAGAGATACATCTCTCTAATCCTTTCTCTATTTCTAATATTTTCGTTCTTTTCCATCAAATACTCTGAAATCTCAGATTAATTTTTATATTATATTTTACCACATTCAGAAAAAAACCTACAACTGAAATTAACACTAGAGCTCACCATTGCTTTTTAAAATATTATGCAATTAGCAGAGGTTACAAATTGGTATCAGAAATTTAGAACAAAACTGAACTGGAGGTATTAACACCATTATTACAATCCTAAGGAATACTCTGGATTATCTAAAATAAGCCTATTAAAGCCTTAATTTTTTTTACCTTGGGAGTTCCAATCCAAAGAGGATTCATAAATAATTGCGGAGTCCTCATACGTCTGTCATTAGTTTGTCAAGTTCCACTTGTGTCTAAGGATCTATTGCTGTGAGTGCTACTTGTAAACAAGCATGGGGGTGAATGTTCTCCAGCCCTGAGTGGAGCTGACAGTTCTGCAGCAGCTGCTGGTAGCTTTCCTGTATCTCAAACTCATTTGCTTAAAATAGGTGCAATTAAAAGCCATTATTCTTGTATATTTTGTATTTTTTCTATTATTTTTCTATTCACAGACCCCTTTCTATTAATTGGGC